CGCACAGAAGCCCAGCAGGCGGGAGCGGTCAAGAGAGGGGGCTTGGTGGGGAGGATGGCACACCCCCTCGGAGGCGGGAGATCGCGAGCAGGAGAGGCGATGCCTCTGCGCAGGCGGCGAGGGGGGGGGAGGGGGGAGGGGGAGGGGCGGGCGAGAGGCGGGAGGAGCGGCGGAGAAGGGAGAGCGAGGGGCGGGGTGCAAGGAGGCAGGAGCGGCAGAAGGAGAACCCGAGGAACTGGAGGCGGCGAGGAAGGGGGAGGGGGGATGAATGTGCGGGTCGTCGGCGACCGACAGGGAGCGCCCCTCCTCTTCCCTTAGACCTCCATGCTCTGGGGTTTGGCCGATGCGGGGGGCGGGGCGGGGGGGGCGGCCTGCAAAAGGTCAGCTGGACGTGCGGTTGCCGTCCGGGGATGTCCGGGCGCGGCTGGTGCCGGGCAAGGAGCAGGGGACGGGTGTGTCCATCGCGGGGGACACACTCATGTGCGCGCACATGCATGCATGCACGCATGAGTGTGGGCGTGGGCGTGGGTGTGCTGTGTCGCGCATGTGTGCCGGCGACAGAGGGACGCCCAGCCCCGGGCCCCCCCCTGAGGTGGCTTCGGCTCGTCTTTCCCCTTTCGTTGATGAGCAGGCCCCCTTCTTTCCCCCGTTGCCCCCCCCCCCCCCCGGGGGGGAGAGGGTGACCGGGGCGAGGATGTCCCCAGGCGCGTGGCCAGCGGGCGGGCGTTCTCTCGCGCGTCCAGGGGGCTGGGCGGTTGGTTGGCTGCTGGGCCTTTTGTAGGGGCCGGGGGTGCTTCGCCTGCCTGCAGGCCGGTCGCCCGCCCCCTCGCCGGCACGGGCACGGGCGGGGGAGGGGGGGGGGGGGACAAAATGTGCCCCTCCTCCTGCGGGGGGAGGAATTCTGGGCGCGCCCCACGCGCGGCCGGCCGGCGGGCGGGCCCCGGGTGGACGCCGGGACCCCGCCAACACCGCAGATCGGCCCAGTACGGGGGGGGAGGGGCGGGAGAAAATTAACGCCCCGCAGGAGAGCGCTCGCGTCTGACCCGCGCGCCGCCCCTCCTACATGCCGCGGGCTGTGGGGTGCAACTGCCTGGACTGCCCTATCAACGGCCGGCTCTCCTGCCGCCGGTCCGCGCCCCGGCCCAAAATGCATCCCCACATCGCCTGG